AGAGGTCTCACTCCGAATCAGTCGAGCGGCATTATATTTTCGTTGTGTGGAAGCTACCTGGTCTGTCGCTCCACATGAAGCTTCAAGTCTTCTCGGCCACAGTCATTCCATCCCTTCTCTATGCTTGCGAAGCGTGGACCACCCCCCCCCCCCCCCTCATGGAACATCTTCGCCGGTTAGAAACATTTAGGCTGGCCTGCCTCCGATCCATCTTGGGTTTAACCAAGCTGTATTGTGTGAGGAGCTCACAAATCCTTGAAAGATCTAGACAAAGTCCTATCGGTGAGCTCCTTCGGCAGGCAAGGCTGCGTTGGCTGGGTCATGTAGCCCGCATGCCCAGCCACCGCATGCCTAAACACCTTTTGTTCGGCCAGACCGAGGGGGCGAAACGGGCGCGGTACGGGCTAGAGAAGAGATGGAGTGATGTGGTACAGGAGGACGTGGAGCTGAGTGGACTTGCCGATGACTGGTACCAGCGGTGTCAAGATCGGCCTCTGTGGAGGAGGCTCGTGAAGGACGCTACTGGGCAGTTGGAGGCAGTCGCCCTCCAACAACAATGGAGGGCGGAGGAGTGACGCTCACAACAACGAGCGAAGCGCCGGGTGGCTAAAGCTCAGCAAGTTGGCACATTTGAGGGCACAGGTGGTGCATCGGCCAGTCGTCTCAGTCGGTCGACCTGTGGCACCTGGGTCTGCCCCGTGACCTCCTGCCAGCGGGCGTTCGACATTTCACGTGACCTCAAGGTGCACATAGCCTCGCACAAGCGCCGTGGTGACGGCACCGCCACTTAATGGCGAATGGCGGTTGTTGAGTGATCTTGATGGTGAGTGATGTTGACGGCCGTGTTGATGGTGAGTGATGTTGATGGCCGTGTCGATGGTGAGTGATGTTGACGGCCGTGTTGATGGTGAATGATGTTGATGGCCGTGTGGATGGTGAGTGATGTTGATGGCCGTGTTGATGGTGAGTGATGTTGAGAGTGATGTTGATGGTCGTGTCGATGGTGATAGTGATGTTGATGGTCGTGTCGATGGTGAGAGTGATGTTGATGGCCGTGTCGATGGTGAGTGATGTTAATGGTGGTGTCGATGGTGAGTGATGTTGATGGTGGTGTCGATGGTGAGTGATGTTGATGGCCGTGTTAATGGAGAGTGATGTTGATGGCCGTGTTGATGGTGAGTGATGTTGATGGCCGTGTTAATGGTGAGTTATGTTGATGGCCGTGTTGATGGTGAGTTATGTTGATAGCCGTGTCGATGGTGAGTGATGTTGATGGCCGTGTTGTTGGTGAGTGATGTTGATGGCCGTGTTGATGGTGAGTGATGTTGATGACCGTGTTGATGGTGAGTGATGTTGAGAGTGATGTTGATGGTCGTGTCGATGGTGAGTGATGTTGATGGCCGTGTTGATGGTGAGTGATTTTGATGGCCGTGTTGATGGTGAGTGATGTTGATGACCGTGTCGATGGTGAGTGATGTTGATGGTGAGTGATGTTGATGGTGAGTGATTTTGATGGCCGTGTTGATGGTGAGTGATGTTGATGGCCGTGTCGATGGTGAGAGTGATGATGGTGAGTTATGTTGATGGCCGTGTCGATGGTGAGTGATGTTGATGGCCGTGTTGATGGTGAGTGATGTTGATGTTGAGAGTGATGTTGATGGTCGTGTCGATGGTGAGTGATGTTGATGGCCGTGTCGATGGTGAGAGTGATGTTGATGGCCGTGTTGATGGTGAGTGATGTTGATGGTGAGTGATGTTGATGGCCGTGTTGATGGTGAGTGATGTTGATGTCCGTGTTGATGGTGAGAGTGATGTTGATGGTGAGAGTGATGTTGATGGTGAGCGTGATGTTGATGGTGAGAGTGATGTTGATGGTGAGAGTGATGTTGATGGTGAGAGTGATGTCGATGGTGAGAGTGATGTTGATGGCCGTGTTGATGATGAGTGATGTTGATTGTGAGAGTGATGTTGATGGTGAGAGTGATGTTGATGGTGAGAGTGATGTTGATGGTGAGAGTGATGTTGATGGTGAGCGTGATGTTGATGGTGAGAGTGATGTTGATGGTGAGAGTGATGTTGATGGTGAGAGTGATGTCGATGGTGAGAGTGATGTTGATGGCCGTGTTGATGATGAGTGATGTTGATTGTGAGAGTGATGTTGATGGTGAGAGTGATGTTGATTGTGAGAGTGATGTTGATGGTGAGTGATGTTGATGGCCGTGTCGATGGTGAGAGTGATGTTGATGGTGAGAGTGATGTCGATGGTGAGAGTGATGTTGATGATGAGTGATGTTGATGGTGAGAGTGATGTTGATGGTGAGTGATGTTGTTGATGAGTGATGTTGATGGTGAGAGTGATGTTGATGGTGAGAGTGATGTTGATGGTGAGTGATGTTGAGAGTGAGTGATGTTGATGGCCGTGTTGATGATGAGTGATGTTGATGGTGAGAGTGATGTTGATGATGAGTGATGTTGATTGTGAGAGTGATGTTGATGGTGAGAGTGATGTTGATGGTGAGAGTGATGTCGATGGTGAGAGTGATGTTGATGGTGAGCGTGATGTTGATGGTGAGAGTGATGTTGATGGTGAGAGTGATGTTGATGGTGAGAGTGATGTCGATGGTGAGAGTGATGTTGATGGCCGTGTTGATGATGAGTGATGTTGATTGTGAGAGTGATGTTGATGGTGAGAGTGATGTTGATTGTGAGAGTGATGTTGATGGTGAGTGATGTTGATGGCCGTGTCGATGGTGAGAGTGATGTTGATGGTGAGAGTGATGTCGATGATGAGAGTGATGTTGATGATGAGTGATGTTGATGGTGAGAGTGATGTTGATGGTGAGTGATGTTGTTGATGAGTGATGTTGATGGTGAGAGTGATGTTGATGGTGAGAGTGATGTTGATGGTGAGTGATGTTGAGAGTGAGTGATGTTGATGGCCGTGTTGATGATGAGTGATGTTGATGGTGAGAGTGATGTTGATGGTGAGAGTGATGTTGATGATGAGTGATGTTGATTGTGAGAGTGATGTTGATGGTGAGAGTAATGTTGATGATGAGTGATGTTGATGGTGAGAGTGATGTTGATGGTGAGAGTGATGTTGATGGTGAGAGTGATGTTGATGGTGAGAGTGATGTTGATGATGAGTGATGTTGATGGTGAGAGTGATGTTGATGGTGAGAGTGATGTTGATGGCCGTGTTGATGGTGAGAGTGATGTTGATGGTGAGTGATGTTGATGGCCGTGTCGATGGTGAGAGTGATGTTGATGATGAGTGATGTTGATGGTGAGAGTGATATTGATGGTGAGAGTGATGTTGATGGTGAGAGTGATGTTGATGATGAGTGATGTTGATGGTTAGAGTAATGTTGATGATGAGTGATGTTGATGGTCAGAGTGATGTTGATGGTGAGAGTGATGTTGATGGTGAGAGTGATGTTGATAATGAGTGATGTTGATGGTGAGAGTGATGTTGATGGTGAGAGTGATGTTGATGGTGAGTGATGTTGATGGTGAGAGTGATGTTGATGATGAGTGATGTTGATGGTGAGAGTGATGTTGATGGTGAGAGTGATGTTGATGGCCGTGTTGATGATGAGTGATGTTGATGGTGAGAGTGATGTTGATGGTGAGAGTGCTGTTGATGGTGAGAGTGATGTTGATGATGAGTGATGTTGATGGTGAGAGTGATGTTGATGGTGAGAGTGATGTTGATGGTGAGAGTGATGTTGATGGTGAGAGTGATGTTGATGGCCGTGTTGATGATGAGTGATGTTGATGGTGAGAGTGATGTTGATGGTGAGAGTAATGTTGATGGTGAGAGTGATGTTGATGGTGAGAGTGATGTTGATGATGAGTGATGTTGATGGTGAGAGTGATGTTGATGATGAGTGATGTTGATGGTGAGAGTGATGTTGATGGTGAGAGTGAAGTTGATGATGAGTGATGTTGATGTGAGAGTGATGTTGATGGTGAGAGTGATGTTTATGGTGAGAGTGATGTTGATTGCCGTGTTGATGATGAGTGATGTTGATGGTGAGAGTGATGTTGATGGTGAGAGTGATGTTGATGGTGAGAGTGATGTTGATGATGAGTGATGTTGATGGTGAGAGTGATGTTGATGATGAGTGATGTTGATGATGAGTGATGTTGATGGTGAGAGTGATGTTGATGATGAGTGATGTTGATGGTGAGAGTGATGTTGATGGTGAGAGTGATGTTGATGATGAGTGATGTTGATGATGAGTGATGTTGATGATGAGTTATGTTGATTGTGAGAGTGATGTTGATGGTGAGAGTAATGTTGATGATGAGTGATGTTGATGGTGAGAGTGATGTTGATGGTGAGAGTGATGTTGATGGTGAGAGTGATGTTGATGGTGAGAGTGATGTTGATGATGAGTGATGTTGATGATGAGTGATGTTGATGATGAGTGATGTTGATGGTGAGAGTGATGTTGATGATGAGTGATGTTGATGATGAGTGATGTTGATGGTGAGAGTGATGTTGATGATGAGTGATGTTGATGGTGAGAGTGATGTTGATGGTGAGAGTGATGTTGATGATGAGTGATGTTGATGATGAGTGATGTTGATGATGAGTGATGTTGATGATGAGTGATGTTGATGGTGAGAGTGATGTCGATGGTGAGAGTGATGTTGATGGTTAGAGTGATGTTGATGATGAGTGATGTTTATGGTGAGAGTGATGTTCTTTGACGTTGCATGCAGTCCACGAAGCCGTGGTCATAGAGCGCCACCCCGCGGCCTCATTACACCGAGACTGCGCGGTGTTCCGGATCATCGTTGAAGGCTACGACTTTTGGTGCGGTGTTGTTATTAGACTCGGAACATAATTACGAGTTAGTTACGCGATAGTGTGTCTGGTGTTTCGAGACGAACAGGGACGATTTGGGGATAAAACGGGGCCCGGCTCGTCGTCGTGAGGCAACGCGCGGCTCCGCCGGCACGGTACAACAAACCCCACACATCAACGCGTTTACACTCGGTTCATCGGCTAGATTATCCCTCCTCCCCCCACCTCTTCGCAATCGCAGCAAGCGATTAATCGCCGTGGTTGTCGTGATTATTATTATCATCGATTGTCATTACGGAGGACGGCGACGCCTGAGGGCCTGGGCTTTGTCGTCACCCGCGGCCTTCCCCTCACCCATCGCCGCTGTTGTTTATGTTTTTTTTTAAGCTTTCACTTTCGCAGTTACTGCTGCTGCATAAGAAGAAGAAGGAGCTGTAGGTGTTACTTTGCTAATTTTTTTTGCTGTTGTGTGATTAAAGTTGCATTTGAAATTTGGCGGGAAGTGCGACTCGAAGCTCTTTGAACCCCCGCGGGATTGGGGACCGACCTAGGCCCAGCTTCTTCAAACGAACAACAATCTGTACAGTATCCACTTCCCGTCAACTTGTGCCGCTTTAAGTGATAAACTTGAGGGAAACTTCCCTCAAGGTGTCTTAAATCATAATTTTTAAAGTTATTATAGAACAATGCAAACAATTGCCGAAGTCCTCGCGACCCGAAACCGCAGCAGTTTGCACGTTGAAACGTCTTTCGTACCGTACGTAAGCTAATCGGAGGCGCGGTGAGGTGGAAGAAGGACGACAAACTAAAGCAGACGAAGTCACTTCCTATTCTTGGTTCTTTCGGTAAAGTCCCGACTTCACCGAAAGAACCAAGAATATGAATCCCTGCAGTAACGAAAGCTTTTAAATCAGAAGTCACTTCCCTCGTTAATCAGCGCCGCTTGTTCATGCTAACGTGAAGGGGTGTGTGGTGGCATTTCCTCTTAACGCAGTGATTCTTTTAACCTGGGGTGCGTGACATGGCCAGATTGTTGTTCGAAGGTAAATAATCGAATCCTAGATTTGAAGCTTTCGTGACTGCAAGGATCCATACTCTTTGGTTCTATTCGGTAAAGTCACGTAGGTAAAAAATAAAACAAAAATCACGACGTTTCGGCCACAACACAAGCGGCCTTCACCTGATGAAGGCCGACGTTGTGGCCGAAACGTCGTGATTTTTGTTGTTTTATTTTTTACCTACGTGACTTTACCGAATAGAACCAAAGAGTATAAATCGTCGAACACACAAATTAAGCCACGGGGCGCGTAAGTTGCAACTTACTTCACTTCGTCAAACCCCTATGTATTTGTTAACATTATTACATTAGCCTCACGATTGAGAATCAAGAGTTGGGGGGAGTGTTGCAAGGTTGTAGTGAAGGTTTAAAGGGCCACTGCTCCAACGTGAGGTGGTTTTAAATGGGGGGGGGTGGGGGGCTGTGTTGTGTCGCCACTGACATCGTCTCTCGCCACCCAGCGGAGGCTCTGTCTCAAGCATTGACCGTCTCTGAACGTTGTGAGTGGAGGGGGGGCGGGGATCTTCGTCTTGGCAACAAAGAAGAGGCGACCCGGGTCTACTGGTTAATGTGGGGATTTGGTGGTGGTGGTGGTGGTGGGGGGGTGCCATGGATGGACCCTGACTGCCATGCAATCGATTACTTTGCAGAGACCGCGATGCCGAGAGGCGCGAAGAGGCCCTCACGACGGGGACGAGGAGGGCTGTGCCTCGGGGGAGACGACGACGAGGATGAGGAGGAGGAGGAGGGGACCGAGGTGGTGAGGAAGACCAGGAGGTCCAAACAGCCACGAGGTGGAGATGACGACGAGGCGAAGGAGGTGAGCAAGACTCGTGGCTTCAAGGAGTCTTGAGTAAGTGGTGACGAAGCGAAGACGGCGAAGAGGACTCGGAAACCTCCTCGCCGACCCCCCGCCCCCCCCCCCCGAGGTGCCTGAATCCTCCCAGACCCCGGATGAAGCCGGGACCCGAGTCCCCTCGGCGAGGTCTTCATCATTCCGTCCCCTCCACGCGTAGCGCCGGGGGAGACCTCTTCTCTCAACTGTGCGAGGAGTTTTAGTGATCGAAACGACGTGGCCACGCATTGATCCGTGATTTTTTTTTTGTCTGGATAAGGCTGAGAGCTTTTGCGCGTCCAGTACTCGCACGTCTGTTGCGTTGTACCGTACAGTACTGAATCTGTGAGAAGGGGACTGTTATCTGCGTTTTCCTTGCTACCTATAGTTTAACAGTCATTAGCACGTTATTGATAAAACCTTGTTTAACCATAACCTGAACTGTTCTTAGATATCCTCCCGCACCTCCGATTAGCACGGTTGCCTATGTACCGTGCGAAAGAAGTTTAACATACATACATTCGATACATTTTCATTATTCGAGGTCTCTGATTCGATTATTTTTGTTCCATTGCAGTGAATTGGAACCTTCCAGTGGCTGAGGGGAATACAGTGAACCAATTCCAACATTTAAGAATCTAAAATAATCAATCTTCACACAATTGATGAACAGTATCATCGTGAACTCAAGCATAAAATTTTATTGACTAATCGGTGTATCTTTAATCTTTGGTTCTTTCGGTAAAAAAAAATAGATAATTAGTTTTTTCTACCTACGTGACTTTACCGAAAGAACCAAAGAGTATGGATTCCTGCAGTCACGAAAGCTTCAAATCAAGATTGGTGTATCTTTACGTACATGCCTGGTGGGTAAGTCAATGGTCGGGGGGGGGGGGGGGGCGGAGGGACAGAAGATGATGTCGGGTGAGAGGACATCACCTCAGGTCTGAGACTTCCCCTGGCAGTTTTGTCAGTTGGAGAGTGGCTGTTCTGTTCCGCCGTTTCAAAATAAAATGTGATTTCTTTTTTTACAGTTCATGTAAAGTCAAAGAGTCAATATTGTTGAGATTAGCGCGGTTGGCTATGTACGACGCGAAAGAAGTTAATCATACTTACGCACCAACAAGTCGGGTGTCGTGAGAAGGTGTTCATCATTAGACAACAGATTCAGAGAAAATACAGCGAGGAATGTATCATCATCACCACAGCGACCAATAATGCTGCTGGATTTCCAGTAGGAAGTGGCAGAAATTCACTTACTCTTTGGTTCTATTGGGTAAAGTCACGTAGGTGATTTTTTGTTATTTTATTTTCACCTACGTGACTTTACCCAATAGAACCAAAGAGTATGGATCCTAGCAGTCACGAAAGCTTTAAATCTAGAAATTCACTTACATAAAAAAATAACCACAATTCATCCTAAATTGCACATCACAGGAGACTGTGCTCTGACAGCCATTATGGGCCACTCAGCCACCTTCCTGTTTTAATTGTGTTATATCCGTGTTAGAATAAACAAACAGTTGCTTCCTACACGTGGTAAGCATTGTGAAGTGGGCTCTGATTTATGGTGTGGCCTAGGTACAGAACAATGCGGACACGGAAAAGGAGGTGGAGGGGACATCCAGTGAAGAGGTGACTGAAATGAGGAGGAGTGCCGGACGAAAACGTCGGGGGACTAATAAGGACACGGTGGCTCCAAAGAAGCCTCGCAAGCGTAGGGCCACCCAGGCTGCACATGACCCAGTGGAGGCTCCGGTCAAGGGCCTGGGCAGGAAGACCACTAAAACAGAGACCGGCAGTCCTTCTCAACCCAAAGCCGACGTCTCTGTGGGTCCAATGCTTGGAGCAAGCGGCGGAAACTCAGCCGGGAGAGGAAGCCACAAGTTTGTTGGCGGTCACATGTCCATTTCAGGTGTGGCACTGGGATGTCTTGAGTCAGGTTGAACGGATATGTAAATTTGATTCCCTCAACTACCCATTCGTGTCTCGATTTTTCTGCGCTGATGTTGTTTGCACCATAAATTCCTGCCCTTGTTTTTTTTAAACCCAGGTCTCATTTACACAGAACACTTGTCTCAGTGGAATGCCACATGGTTATATAGTTTATTGATTAACTTTGTTTTATCATCACTGGCTCTCACCCAGGTTAAATAAAGTACATGGAACTGAAAACTCGTGCCTTTTTAACCCTGCCTTGGCCACAGTTGTTTACAAAAGTGATTGTTAATTGCACCCTTTGGAACAACGGCTGCACTTGCAGCCATACTTCAGTGGTGTTATGTGTGCAGGCAAGGCAACGGGGCCAATGAGCCGGAGAGTCCCAGGCACCATGCTACAAACGGGGGGGGGGGGGGGCGGAAATTGCAAGGAGACCCAATTTAATTCTGTGCACCAGGGCCCATGCCAACCACACTACGCAACTGCCATGTTAGAACGATCAATGATTGTGCTGATCAAAACGACATCAAATAACATTACAAGGGCACGTCAGCACAGTTCTTTTTAATTGTGCAGCAATATGGGGTGGGGGGGGATTAAGGACAGGATCATAAATTCTGCTTCCCGTCGCACCGCGTGTCCGAGGCGGGCTGTGGAAGGCCGTGGAGGAGAGCGCTCAGCTGGGCGCCCGAGCCTTCGGCCTCTTCCTGACGTCGCAGCGGACGTGGCACACGAAACCACTCGACCCGTGCGACGCCCAGCGCTTCAGGGAGACGTGCAAGCAGCTCGGATTCACGCCGGACCACATCGTCCCGCACGGATCCTACTTGCTCAACTGCGGCTCCCCCAGCACAGGTGCCCCAGTTATCGCCGTCATAATCCCAGATGCCGGATCAATATATGTGTCTTTGCATGTGCTTTGGAATCAGTGGTGCAGTGTTTGCGCTGTGATCCTGAGTTTGACTCCCAACCATGAATCATACTACCAGATAATGCGAGTGGCATGCAGCGTCTGAACCTGTCCTGGGCGACATCTGAATTTATACATAGTGCACAAATTATATGAACATCGGAGGTGCGTATGATTTTGGACGCAGCATCCCTGAGTGCGTTGTGCCAGCCGTAATTTGTGCTCACTCGCAGCCCTTCATCTGCGTAAGGCTAAATAAATGTGGGGGGGGGGGTTCTTTGTCTCCTTGCGTGCACGTGCAGAGACGTTTGAAAAGAGCCGAGCGGCGCTCGTGTCGGAGCTGCAGCGCTGCGAGAAGCTGGGGCTCGTGCTCTATAACTTTCACCCGGGGTCATCGTGCGGCCAGGGCTCCACGGACGCCTGCCTGGAGCGCATCGCCTCCGCCATCAACTATGCGCACGAGCGCACGCGTGGCGTCGTGACCGGTGAGCGCCGCGCAAACCGCTTTGCGGCATGAACACGGGGCGACCGAGTTGGGGGTGGTGGCCGATTGCCGGCCCAATAATCTTGGTAATCGTTCGGTGGCCACGGGTCACTACCAACAGGAGGTTCAAATTTATGGGGGTCTGTATCGATTACATGTTCAGTCAGGTGCTGCTTCAGGAGAATGCTCTACTCGCAATTGGGAAGGTCGTAAGGTCACATCCTGCCCACTCTACCAATAATCGCCACGATGTGATTCTCACTTGTAATTTCATTACTGTCATGATCATAATCGTAATCAAGTGTGCTTGTGATCATAATTGTAATCATCGGTGATCTCACAGTTATATCACTCGTCGGTCTTTTGCCACTTAGCAGCGTTTTTGCCAAGGAGAGACGGCCTAGGGCCACCACCAACAAGAGACGAGCAAAGGCCAACAAAGCTCGTTTGATCAGGGAGACAGGTTGACTCAACTCTGAGGAGCCAATTAGCTCCTTGTTTGAAGGCAGTGAGTGTGGGGGTGTTTGCCGTGTAAGAGCCCAGTTGTCATCATACGCTAGGCAAACTGCAGTTTGAGCTGAGCGAGGCGGTTGCCTGGATTTGCATTTAGGGGACCTGATTATGTCGAGTCCACACTATTGTGTTGAGACGTTGCTGCGCTTTCCGTTCTCTACTCGACCGATCCCTCAATCATCTCCGCCCGAAGGAACAGCCGCAATATTTCACTCCAATAAAATTACCCTAATTGGTATAATTGTCTGTTGAAAATATAATTGTCATGGTGAACATTTAATTACCGTGAATCCGTGCGTTTTGTCTCTGAAATTCTTATCTGCTGCCGCTGTTGATGCTTACCGCTTTCATTTGTAATAAGACCTGCCACTGTAATAATTGGTTTAAAAAAATTATTGCAGTTATCGTAATTGGCTGCAAAGACATTCAGAAGCTCATTACTCAATGTGCCTGTAATTATGGTTTTATCTTGACTGCACAAGACATGCCATACTGCCATCTATACTAACCCATCAGCACAGTGGAGAGGATTCCGTTTTAGGAGCTAATTGTGCTAATTGGCCCCATTGAAGCATATTACTGAATTTGAGCAAGGAGTGTGGTTAAGTAAAGCGAGTGGGTTTGTGTCATAATTGCTGTGTGGTTTCTGTCACCCGTATTCAGCCGGGTGGCACTGCTGTTATTATATCGCTAATACCCTTTACCTAGGTTAAGCCTCAGTCTGATTTCTTTTTTTTTTGCAGGGTTCTGGCATTGGGATATTTTGGCCAATTATATTAATGAGCGTTTGACTTGGTCTGTGAGGAAACTGGAAGTACCTTCGGGAGGGAAAAAAAATCAAGCAGAGGTTAACACTCAAATCCAATCGCAGATTTTGAGTCCAATCCTCTACTGCCATCTCCTGGCCACAGCGATTGGGGATGCTCGATTAAGGAAGGTTGTGCGGGGGTTGTGATTCTCAGCGCTGTTGGTTTGGTGGGCATTGGCAATTTGTTGAGCGACGGAATACAACATCTCATGGTCATCGTTGTGGTTGCCATGGTAATGATTTGTGGTTGACATGCTTGAGTTGGTTGTGCTTGTTTATAAACTTTCATTTTTTGTCACTCAAATGAGCATAAGACGGTGCTCGCTCTGTGTACAACCTTGAATTGGTGGTATAAACTCCACAATTATTTGGTGGGGGACAAGTATACCCACAGGACAACCACTGTCGATTTCCTATAAAAGTGGTACTCAATGTATTGATCCACAGAGGAATAAAGAGCGGAGTCGAACCACGACAAAGATTTGAGCTCCCGACCTTCCAATTGCGAACCATGGTCTATCCACTGCGGCAGCCCCTCTTTGTTGTTGCCGTTGACCCTGTGGTGGCGACGGTCGTTTCCGATTATGCGGTGGCTGCGGCATTTTGTTGTGGTGGTCACGTCTGCAGTGATAGAGAACATGTGCGGCCAGGGCCACACGGTGGGCGGTCAGTTTGAGGAGTTGCGCGGCATCATCGACCTCGTTGCTGACCAGAGCCGCATCGGCGTCTGCCTCGACACGTGCCACGCCTTCGCCGCAGGTGGGGACACGCTGGCGGGCTCGGTGGCATAATTTGCCACGAGCAGAGGAAACCGGTTACTCCCGGAAGACGGTCCACAGGTGTAGCTCAGGGTGTTAGAGCGTCGAGCCACCGCTGCTGAGATCTTGGGTTCGAATCTAGATTTCAGCTGCCCATCATTAAAGCAGGTTCTCAAGTGTAGCTTTTTTATGCTCTCAGATCCTGTGACCAATGACTGCAAAACAAAACTCACCACGTTATATTTGGTTTTTCACTCAATTTATCTAGGTCTCAGTTGAGAATAAGAATATAGACATATTTTTGGTTCTTTCGGTAAAGTCACGTAGAAGGGAAACAATAAAATAATAAAAATACCGAAAGAACCAAGAATATGAATCCCTGCAGTCACGAAAGCTTTAAATCAAAATATAGACACTGTTCCCAAACAATATTTGAAGAACGTTATAAGGTGTGCCCCAAGTCACTAAAGAGACAATACTGAAGTAACTTCAGAAATAATTACGTGCGATCTATTGGGCCAGTTATCTCATATCGTGATGCACAAAGATGATGTAGAGTTCCGAATAAAAGTGTTCAGAATGAAAATGTTTTCTTCCCGAACTTTGCGTGATACCGAATTCCAAAAAAAACATTTTTTTTGGAAACTGTGGTACGCAGCGCTCTGTTTTGTGATATTGTGTGGGGTCATGCAACACTGCATCGTGCGGTATGATGTGTGCAGAGTGGCATGGTGTTGCGTGTGGCACAGTATTGTGTCACGTAGTGTGGTATGACGAGCCGGACACCGTGCATCGTCTTCGTCAGGTTACGACGTCTCGTCGCAGGAAGGGGTGCAGCACACACTGGATGAGTTCCATCGCATCGTCGGACTCAAGTTCCTCAAGGCCGTGCACCTCAACGACTCCAAGGGTGTGTCATCGCGTCTCGGCGTAGCAACGATTCACCCCTCCAGCGCTCCGGTTAATCCTCACAATTTCGGCTCGCAATTGGATTTAACAATCGATTCTTCTGTTTCAATTCCACCATCTTGCTGGAACCGTTTCTTGTTTGTTCTGTCTCATTTGTGTAGTTGTTCACTCCCGTTAGTCGAAAAATAATGCAAAGTACAATTTGCACAATTGTAAATAATGATCTGATGCATGTATCGTGAGTGAAATCATCTATATTAATCAACGTGTCATTACACGTTGTTACAGGCTGATGCTGTGGGTCTACGTAATGGTCAGCAGACGGTAGCACAGCAAATCCATAATTTGACTGTACTTCTATGCTCTCACGTCTTTGCTCCCCACCTTCAAGCAATATTTGATCAGCAGGATAAAATAATCTACATTCCACATGGTGTGGGGGGGAGGCTCTCATCCAGCAGTGGATTCACAAAATGGCTGTACATTATTACATTGAGAAGAGTGGTGCTCCCAAAATAGCATGGGCTCGAACCCCATCGTGCATCACTCACTGGGGAGGACGGGCTGGGGGACACGCTGACCCGTGAGCCTCGTGGGCCCTCGCGTTTCCCCGCTGACCCCGTGTGTGTGCGTGCGTCCCACCCCCTGGGTGGCAAAGGGAAGCTGGGCTGCCACCTGGACCGCCATGAGAACGTGGGGCGTGGCCACATTGGCCTGGAGGGCTTCCGCGCCATAATGAACGCGCCGCAGCTCGACCACCTGCCCATGATCTTGGAGACGCCAGGAAGGTGAATGTTCTCTGTGCCCCACTCGCGAGGCAACCCCAACACGAATGTTCTCCACCTGTCGTCCTTGACTGCGAGACATTCGGAATCACTCCGCGTAACAAGATGCACTTTTTTTCAGCCATTTCCTAAAGCAAAGGTTGGAGACTTGTCTAATAGTCTAGAATTTGTTTTTACTTTATTGACACTGGGCACAATTCTGGGGTGCCTCTTACTTTTTGGAGCCTCTTACAGTGCAGAGAAAATATCAACTATGCCATCTGCCACCTTTGACCCTGCCATCCCTGACCCCCAACCTTCCTCACCTTGCCACCCTTGACCGTGATCCTGAGCCTCGCCCTAACCTGCACCGATCCGTGACCTTAACTCAAATCCTGTTGCTGCCAACACTCCCACCTTTTAGTCCCCAACCCTGCCATCCTTGAATCATGATATACCATGTTGTCCTTGACCTGAACAAACCCTGCCACATTTTCCCCCTAACTGTGACCCTGCCGACCTTGACCATAACGCCGACCCCAACGTGGCCATACAATATTAACCCTGACCCTAGCTTTCACTTTGCTGTCATCGATCCACCACCCCCCATTATTCTGAATAAGGTCATTTGTATTCAACACCACCCACACCATTCGCTACTAAATTCTGTAATCGGACCCCTGTGTATAAAATGACTGGGAGGCCAGGGGGTGTGACTGTGTCATCCTATCCTATTATAAGCAGCAGCTCCCCCTGCATTGTAATCACGTTGAGTTGGTTTCATGGGTGAAATTGGAAAGCAGCAATTCTGCGTAATTGTTAATGGGTCGGTGAGCCGCTGATGTGAATGACTGCCGTGGTTGCTTACCCCCCCGAGTGCAATCTTCCGCTCCTCCCTCTTGCCTCCCACCTCCGCCCTTCTCAGTCCCTCATTTGGGTACGAAGAGGAGATCGCGCTGCTGTACTCACTGTGCCGCTAGTGCCACGGCTTGCAGGTGGTGGGCGACCAGGCGTACCCGCAACCTGACGAGACAACGACCCTGTGGCCCCCAATACCTCGTTACCTCGGGCAGGCCAGCCCCTGTGGTTTGTGGAATTTCGAGCATAAGATGACTCCCAAAGTGTTCAGTGACGTCAACGTTCGAGTCAAACGTTCTTTAAAAAATGCAACCTATCCATGTTTCTCAGATGTGATGCCTTAGATATTTTACGTTGTTGTACTTCTATGTCTGTACACCAGTGAAGTCTGTTACCTATTTTCATAATAAAGCCCCTATTTCTTAATACCGCTGCAGTGTTTCACGTCTGAAACGTATTTTAGGTTATAAAAGTGCACATGCAGTGCATCGCCTGTAACCATGGTGCATATCATATCGAGGTAATAACAGGTGACCTCAGTGATCTCGGGCGATGACCTATAACTCCTCCAGCAGCCCACACATTCACCTGCTGCCGTCCACTCTGATGCCGAGTAACCCACACGACCGAAAGAAAACTGCGGGGCAAGGCGAGGTTCTACAGCTTTGACAAAGGAGCCGAAATTGACAGCACCAGAGATCTGCTGCTCGCCGTGGTGACCTTGTTGCTGAGCGCGCCAAACCAGATTGACGGCCCTTGCAGTGTGGAACACTTGACCGGACAAACTCAATAATAAACACCTTTGGGTTCAACCACTTAAACGAGACCTGAAAATGCATTTTATTGTTACAAGAAATGCTGTTAGCATATTTGTTTTTGTTTCATAACTTACTTTAGATTACAAAAGTAAATCTCTGCGCAATAGAAAGTAACTGCACACTTGCAGGAAAGAAACTGTCAACAAAACGAGGCACAGCACAAATTACCACGCAACCGCACAGCACACGGTTGAGTGAGCCGTGGCTCCCGATCCAACATGGGAGCTCATACGGACAAATGGTAGTGACCACCAGGCTGCGTTCAAATAACGCAAAAAATAAAAAGCTCGTTTGGCAGGATGGGGATTGATCTTGGCGGCGTCACCGCACGCTTGCAGCCTTGCTGCAATCTGATCATTAAAAACGATGAAAAAGTGCAGGCGTGACGGAGCAGGCGTTCGTGCGTGTCACCGGTTTCGACGGTCATGGCGCTGCACGCCTCGGGCTCTTCGCGTGTGTGGGGTAACGGACCGTCTCCTCCTCCCCTCAGTGGGTTATGTTCCAGGTTGCGGAGAAGCACGCTTGGCAGGGAGATTCGCTTTGATTAGTGTGCGCTCGGGACTGCCGCAAAGACTGCTCTTTTAGGCAGGAACAGCTGCTGTCAGTGAGTGAATAAAGAAGCCTCCATCACCAATACTTGGCTAATGGGCCTGGCCAGCAGCCTTCTGTAGCTGCTTTCCCGCGTTTTTGTCTCCCATTAGTTTAAAGTGCAATTAGCGGTTGTTCAAGTTGCCGCTGACGGTGTGAGCCTCTGGCCTCACTAAAATACCCATCTCTCATGGCACAATTGGGGTAGCAGCTTGGTTCGACAGGACAACCAGTTCATCCTTGGGCACGGGTCACCATCCGCTGTAACCACACATTCACACCCGCCGAGAATTGTGAGAGCCGGGGTGGCAGCACCCAGGGTGGCAGCACCCAGGATGGTACCAGATGCCCCCCCCCCACACCCCTGGTTGGGTGGTGCTGAGGATTCCGTTGGAGCTGCTGGGCAAGGCTCAGCGACGGCAAGCCTCCCAGGCAACTACTGACCTGAGTTTCCAACGTGGAGCACACAAATTCACGAGCGTTGGTTTCTGATTTCTGCCCTTGGCGGGCGTGGAAGTAATCAGAGCACCGCTTCAAGCAAGCACTGGCTCCACCTGCTCCCTGCCGGGCACCCCCGGGGTAGGCCCGGGGGTGGTGCCAGGGTGGACGCCGTCGTGCCGCTCTGGAGGAGGGGCGAGCTCGGCAAGGACGTTCAACAAGGCCCCCGGCATGTGGTCCGGAAGCATTCGAGGGCTGATCCGGATTGTCGTGAAGGTCGAGGCGTGGGACCAGTTCACCTGGAACCGGGGTCCGTCCCACGTTTTGTCCCTGGTGGAGCCGGGAGGGGAAAGCACATGGTCGCCGTGAACTCAACGCTCGTCGTGAACTCAACGCTCGTCGTGTCCTTGCAGTGAAAACAGGCTTCTTTATTTCATTACATGGACTCCTGCATCGTTTCAAGTTGCAAGCATGTGATGTTGGTGCATCAGGCAGATGTCGCCATGTACTGCGAGTTATCCAACCTGTGCTGTGGTGTTACTCCCCGCGACACTCATGAGTTTTCCCCACGTGCTCCGGCTACCTCTCTTTATTATATTTTAGATGCATTAATCACCTAAACAAAACCACGTTTCAAGATAATGTACTGGCCAAACACCACTTCTAAAAGTTTTGAAACTGGGTAAATGAATGACATTATTACTGAGGCATTGATTTGTGTGCGAGCAAACACAACAACAAAATAAAGGCTGATGTGCCAAAGATGAGGTTGAGTTAAGGAAATGAATGCATCACAGGAAGGGTTGATATGAGCAGTTTGTTGGCTTATTTGTTATGGTTCGAGGTAGAGCTAGCCTTTGGCTGGATAAAGTGGTTAGGGTTATAGGTAGGGGCGTCTTGTGTGATTAGGGCTAGGGTAAGCACATGGCTGGCTGGCTAGTTTGTGAGGATTAGGGGAGAGCTAATGTCTGATCCACCAATAACAATCTGCCTCCACGGCTGTTGCCAAGTACGGCCTTTTAACTTCTTGTCGACGGCTGTGCATGACGGCACGGCGCCTGCCGCGTTGTGAGCGATACCTGGCCGGTGTCTTGGTGATGTGCACCACCCTCCCCGGCAGGAAGAGCAGGGGTCGCTGGGTGGCGGCGGCCGCGGCCGTTGGGATCTGTTCCGGGGCGACGTTGTTGGTCGGCGTTGAGTCGAGCGAGCGGTAAGACGCCCGGCGCTCACTCCCTCCGGACAGCAGTGGCTGGGAGGGCTCAGGTGGAGAGTGGCTATCATGAGCAGTGGCCTCGCCGTGCGGCGGGGACGTTGGGGACGCAGGCATATCGTCATCGTCCCCTGCGCACCCCACGCTGCCCCCACGGCAACAGGCGCACAGCAGGATCTTGTACTGCGGGGGGTTAAATACGACGCGGCACCGTGAGATGCATGGACAGGTAAGCCAGACGCGCAGACAGGTGAAACGGTGGCGACGCAAAGGGACACACGGTGGGGTGGGGGGGGACACAAAAGTGATGGGGATCCAAGGAGACATGGGACAAGACAGTGGAGAAACAAGGGCGGACACAGATGAAATTCAAATCGGAGAGGTATAGACGCGCACAGTTGCTGCAAGCTCAGACTAAACGCCATCACTGCAGTGGTAGCAAAATTCCACCTTGGGCTGGTCGCTGGTCAGGATCATGGTGAGGATGTTCTCCTTTAGGTCGTCCATGTTGGCCAGGCTCAGCCTTGGGTAGGTAGAGTGGAGGGATGGGAGGGGTGGGGGTTCGAGTGGGTGAGGGTGGGAAGCACAAGACTCTTTGTAATGAATCAAACTTAGCATTTGGATTTTGGCACAAACTGCACTCCACTCTGTGGCTGCATTAGCATGATGTTGTGTGGCTGTGGAGTAGTCTTAAATACAGATTGGGTTACTGCTAACACAGGGTTGTGTTGATGTATGTTGACCCGTAACAAAGCGTTGTATTGCTGCATAGTGCTGTATCGTTGCCTATGGGTCTTGTAACATGGAGAGCTGTGTCAGATTAATGCGCAGTCTTGTCTGTGTGGGAAATTGCCAGCCTCACCTTGGCACCAGGTCCAAACCAAGCACCACTGAAATGATGAACTGCTGAGCGTGCTTGGACAGAGCCTCGCTGTGCACACAAACACAAAAGTAATATGTATAGGCACAGTCTTGCTCAAACAGAGTAATACAGTCACTGAAGCGCACACATAGACACACGAATTGAAGCTGTCTGAGCTGACCCCTGCGAGTGAGACGCATCTACCTGAGCTGACCTTTGCCAGTGAGACACCCCTAGCTGAGCTGACCTCTGCAATTAAGACGTCCCTACCTGAGCAGGCCACCAGGAGGGGAGAACGCGTAGCAGCGCAGTGAGGGGTACGATGGCTTCAGCAGCAGCGCAAGGATGGCGGCCGTGCCAGCGCCCAGGCTGTGGCCCGTCACCACCACACGGTACTCCTGACCCACGCACACACGCAGGTGTTCATGCATGCTGGCATATACAGTCGCGCACAACGTATAAAGACAAAGATGCCCTGTAAAGCCTACACAGGCTGTTGGGGCAAGTGCCATTAGCGAGCACCTATGAAGGCCGCAAGGACGCACGAATGGGTGGGGGGCCAGCACCACGCCCGGCCGATGATGAGATTTTTTCACCGGTCGCTGTGCGGGTGGTCTCCATTGTGTTTTCATGATTTTTAAATCGATTCTCTTCCCCCCCCCACCACCTGACCCAATTGTATTCTGATTGTGCTGTCAGCGTCACGTCGTGAAGTGACGACCTTTTCGTTGAGAGCTCATACAGCTTAGTGGTGTACCGCCCTGTGTCGGAGAATAGCACAATAAACTGGCGCGTGAAGCTTTCCCAAGTCACTTCATTGGGCCCCTTTAATCGCACCAGCGACGCATGCCATATATACACCCTGCAGAAAGTGTGTTTATTGCATAGAAATCTAAAAGGAAAACCCAAATTCGACAAATGGATTTTGTTAATGTCGTTATGGATAACCACGTGGAGGCCACAAACTCCATATGCTCAAGATCATGGTTTTGTCCTTGGGTGAATTTAAAATTTAAACCCCACATCTACAGTGGTGCCAACTTTGATGCTGCTCCGACACAATATTACCCCCCCCCACTCCCTTTCCCCCCCAACCCCCCGCCGGCCCCGTGCCACCGGGCCACCTCTACGGGCAGGTTCTCAATGCAAATCCCATCCCGGCAAACGTTGGCTGTGCCTGAAACAACTACGGGGACACAAGATGAGGCAAGTGGCCAGCATTACCGGCACGATGGCCAACGCCCCCACCAGGATCCCGTCGTTCACGAGTCGGCCGTAGACGTAGCGTGCAGCCTGAACCATGCCCTGCACGCAGAGAATCAGAGACGGGCTAATTGTGGTCAACGTGTCGTCTTCTTCTTTTCTCTCCCGTCAGCTCGATGGCACCGAATGAACAAAACTAAACAGTTTTTATTTTACCAGGTAAGGCCCACTGAGCTGTATAGCTCTTTGTCAGAAGCGACCTGGTTATCATAAATGACAGTTCAACAAAGTGGCTTCCTGTGTGGGAAT